TGTATTCATCTTTGTGATTTGATTATTTACTATATTGATACTACTTGATACTCTTCTAGTGGGTTTTATATTTTCATGTGTAATCATCATGATAGCTTTATTTTTCCAATTCTAGATATATGACTTTCTTAGGCATCTTTGGTAAAGATGGGCATGAATTTCCTCACTTGTGATTGTCTTAGAAGGTCTTTGTTTCTCCTTTGATTCTGAACGATATTCTTGCTTGGGTAGTAATCTTGGTTGCTTCAGGACTTTCACCCTTCTGGTTGTTAGTCAGCTTTCTATCTGAGATAATCAACTTTTAAGAGAAAAGGTTTATCCTGATTCATAGTTTTGAAAGTTGTAATCTGTGGATTATTGTTCCTGTTACTTTTGATGAATAGAAAAGCAGAAAATTATGGTAGGCATGTACAATGGAACAAAACTGCTCACCTTATGGTGGTCAAGAAGCAAAGAGAGGGGGAAAAAACCAACTGGGATTCTACAATCTCTTTCAAGAGTATTCCTTCAATGACTTAAGGGTCTCACACTAGGTCCCGCCTCTTATAGGTTTTACAACATTCCAATAGCACATCTCAACAATCAAATCTTCAGTACACAGGCCTTTGAGAAGCTGAAGATCTAAACCATAGTACTAGAGTACACTAGTAGAGGGTACACACAATTGTTACCAATACGGTAGAGATACACCACCCCCAAAATTCCTTAATTCACGGGCTAGTCATACAACTGCCTGCCCTAGATCTTACCAAGTGCTCATTTGTTTCCTGAACTTACTGCTTTGCATATTCAAGGATTCCATATAACTAAAACAATGAAAAATACTCTTTTGAGCTTGGTTTCATTCACGTGACCAAATGCATTTCATGTCCATCGATATTATTTTTTTGTGCATCGATATTGTTGCATGCAAGAACACTCCATCCATTTTTGTAAGTAAATAGAATAGCATTGTGCAGCTCTATCAGGGTATATTCATGCATTTCCAAGATGTAGGGTGCTTGTGTTATTTTCCCTTTTGGTGATCATGAATATAGATGTTGTAAATATTTATAGTCAAGTTTTTGTGTGACTGTAAGTTTTACTGTAAATATTCCCATTTACTTGAGCAATTGAAATTTCTGTTTTGTAAGTATTTATATGATTTTAAAATAAATCATCAAATTGTTTTCCACAGTGACTATGGCTTTTTATCCTTATCAGTAATATATGAGAAAGTACTATCCAAATCAAATCCCAATATTGTCTGGGATATTTATTTTAGCCATTCTCATGAATATATAAGATATATTCATGTGGCTTTATTGTACTCTTTATTATTGATTAACGAGTGATTTTGATTATGTTAATTTTTTTAAAAAAACTTAATAGATGTAACTTTACAATGTATTTCAATATATATACACAATGCATAATGATTAGATCTAAATAATTGGTACACTCATCACTTCAAATATTTATCATTTCTTTCTGTTGAAAACACTTGAAATCTTTTCTAGTAGCTATTTTGGAATATACAAATACCAGTTACTAACTATAGTTACAATCTTCTCCTTTGAGTGCTCGTTTGGAATGAAGCTGCTTATATTCAAAACCAATCTCAGTTCTTAGTGATAGTTTTATCTCTTTTTCAACTTTTTCAATTGTGGTTTTATGTGACTCATGTTAGCAAGGATTAATGCCTAAATAAATTTCCTATGGTTTTATTTCCTGAAATCCAATCAAGGAACAAATGCTTTCAAAATATTCAAAAACTAGCGGTGAAAATTTTAACTCTAGAGCTGTTCTGACTTTTGATTTATTTAATTTATTTTGAGACAAAGTGTCACTCTGTTGTCCAGAGTTGGCTGCCTACCCTAGGTCCAAAGAATCTTTCTGCTTTAGACTTCCTAGTAGCTAAGAGTAAAGGTGCATGCCAGTGTACACGGCTAATAAGCACATTTTAAACGTTGCAATGTTACAAGCTATTGAATTATTTAAAATCACTTCAAACATTTGTTAAAAAAGAAAGAAGGAGAGGAAAAGAGGAAGGGAAAGAAAGGAAAATACAGGGAAAAGAAGAGAAAACCTAAGAATGTAAACTAAAGCTAAAAATAGTCTCTCTCCTTCTTTATGATAACGCTGACTCTGGTTGCAGGCTTTTTGGAAATTTCCTTGAATAGAAGCATCATCTGTCTCATGCAGAATGTGGGAAAGCAAAGCTCCTGGTTTCTGTGAAATTTTCTCATAGGTGAGTTCTGGAACACCCCCCTCACCTTTCTGTAAATGAAGTTTGAAAACTTTCTTATTAACATAATACTTGTTTTATTTAAAACATTTTAGCTCAAATGATTAATTTGATTTAAATTTCCGACTGTTTCCCTGCCAAAGATGTTAGGAATTTTCATTATTCCCTTTGGGAATTTTGAGGCTGCTTCAGCCAATTTAAGAACAGGATCCTGAAACATTAGGATTAACACTTGGCTATGAAACTTACTCTAAATGAAAGGATTTGAAAGGTTCATGTAAGATATGTCAGTTTAACTAAGTTTTTAATAAATGCAAGCCAAGCATGAATTTTTATATTTTAAAGTAGGAAAGCAGCTTGTTCTGAAACATATAAAGATTTTTTAGCTGCTTATAAAATATGAATGTTAATTTGTTGTTCAGTTTAGGTTTCTGTATTAACCTGGTACTTCCCACAGTTGAGGCAAAGACTTGGGTAAAGGTTATTTGTAAAGATTACTGGGTTCATGAGAATGGACAATCGAGGAAAGAAAAATAAGAAAATAAAGAAATCTAATGTTTGTCATTCAATGAATCACCAGGGAGGTCAATTTGGACTGAATCCTACTGGGCAAAGTCTGAGAAGCCAGAGATTCTCCAGGGTCTAATGAATCTGCTAGGGGTGGCCAAATAATTCACCATCTCAATTGGATGACTTGCTTTGAAATAAATTTCTAAATAACCACAAATGAATTAAATATGCATGTCAAGTTTTCATAATTAAGTATATTGCATTATTTTCATTTATTAGAAGTCCAGGCACTTATATTTAATGGCCATTTAATTCAGAAGAATTAAGTATTGTTGTGTGGTAGAGTTTATAACTTGGGTTTAAAGGTAACCCACAGCAGAAAGAAGTAGATTTTGATGGCCTGTATCATTTATATCTTTACCATTTATTAATTAGTGCTAATCAGTACACTTGTTCAATAAATGTATTTCAGTATCATTATATGTTTGGCATGTTAGAAGATTAAAAAATAGAGTTTCTTCTAAATATATGGAAATTGAAGTCTCACTGGATAGAGTCTCACTGAAAGTTTAAAATTCTGCACACCATAAATGATATATTTTAAGCTCATCCAACAATATCATTGACTAAACTTCAGGACATACAGATTTGTCTGAAATCTGAAGTTTATCTAGTAAATGGAAATGCCATAATGTTTGGCCCCTTTATCCAAATTAATGTTGCTTGTTAGCAGTCGCCTTGTTTAAAGGCTTTCCCACCTCCTTTGGTTGATACATACATGCAGATATGCATACCCTTTAAGTCCTGTATTACCCTGACCCTTTCTTTTCAGTTTATTGCTTCATTTTCTGATTATACAAGTAATATGTGCTTGTTAAGAAAACTTGTAAATGATAGAAAATTATAGACAAAAAAATAAAATTTTCTGTAGCTTTTGTACTTTTGTTTTTCTCTGTGATCACTTTGGGAAGTTCTTTATGAGAGAAGCGTACATGTTCAGCTTTGTATCCTGGTCCTAGGAAGTATGGGATACATTAGAAACGCTCCATAATTTTGAGTAAGTGAATGAACACACAGTCATAAACAGTGATGTTGTTGGTGAATTTTTATGTTAAATTTAATTTCCATTTCATCTTAGCATATATGTACTGCATATGAGTATAAGAAGCCATACAACAATTCAATGTATTTCCAAAGATGATCATGATGCTCCTTAACAGTAGGAAGATGATCCAGGGTAGTTATAATATATTAAAAACTAGGCAGAAATTGAAAAACAGAATTGATATTATCCGGGGCTGGCATTATTCAGATGGCTCAGTATTCATTTTGTGGAGAATGAAATTGTGAATTAAGGTTGAAAATCTGATAAATGAACTAGACGTGAGTTTACTTGACACCCTTTGATTTTAGAAAGGACTGGGAGTGATAACAAAACCATCTCCATTTCACATAAGATATCAAAGAGTGTTTTTCATTGTTTCTTTTCTTGTTTTGCTGAAGTAGTTTAAATGGCAATATTTGATAGAAATCTGAGTAGTGTTTTCCATTTTCTTTTTTAAAATTTATAAAGTGAATGGCACAGCAAAACAAAAGATTTTCCATTTTCTTTTCATTTGGTTTTAATGAAGAATAAAAATTTTAATTCTATAATTGAGCAAAAAGTTGACCATGTGAAGAATTTGTACTTAAAGGACATCTTTCATGTCCACATAGCCTGAAGGAATCCAAATGAAGCCTCCACCATCAATCTGTGACAGCACTGGGAAGTAAAACATGTTGGTGAAAACATTTTCTTTCAACTCATGACGAAATTCAATTTCCTCTTGGCGAATTTGGAATCCTTCAGTGCATAATTTTCTTTTCTGGTGCAATATAGGGTAGTTTGTAAGGGAGTCTTTCGCTACCTAAATATTCTCAACATTTTGGAAACACATTAGCAATTACAAAGAAGTTGCAGGCTTAGATTGCAAGGTAATAGTATAAGCAAATACATGTTTAATAAGAATTAGAATGTGTGATTTATTTATTTGTCTCTTCTTTCTTTCTAGTGTTTCAGAGCATTTATTGAGTAAAGTCACCATTTATTATTGTCCTCACCACATGTAAAGTATTCCTAAGATGTAGATTCTTTGCTCAGATAAAGGATGTGAAGAGTAGAGGTAAAATCGCAAGCAGCTCAACCTAACACAGGCACACAGGTGAGCTAGAGATCTCTGAGTCCATTATCAAGAGGAAAAATGAATACTAAACTGTTAAGCTCAGTTTCCATGGAAAATTTATTCCATAAATTTTTAGGGATCCTAATTTCACCTCCACTATCACTTGCAGATAACTGGGAAAGGAAAGAGGAATTTCCAATGTCAAAAGAGCCAAAGGAGATTTAAAGATGATTACACATTACATAGATAGGTAGTTTTCACGTTGAGCTATCTAACCGGGAATTGGCGCAGACATGCCACAGTGAATTTTCTAGAAATCTAATGTTTCGGTTATTGGAAAGAACCCAATGATCTAATCCTTGCATAGTGTCAGGTTTCACTGCTGAATAAGTTAATGCACAACATAGAATTAAGAAACTCATTAATTATATAGTCATAAATCTGAGAGTGAAAAAAAAACGCAAATTGGGTATTTTGAAGTAATTAACAGCTTTGATTAACCAAGTGAAAAGAAAAGCACACCTTGGCTCTTTGGCAAAATTCACAGGATCCATATCAAGCGTGGGTACTGATATTGGTCACTCTTCCCATACATATTTTTGGCAGTCTTAAAAAGCCTTTCAAAGCAAAAACAAATTATAAAACCTAGTTTCCAACAATACGTACGAGGGACACACCAACACTTGTCAGGAATAGCTCTGGGTGCTTGGTACCAGTCCTTGCCTTGAGGAAACCTGCTGCTTTCTGTTCACTGCGCGCCGTATCCTGCGGTAATGCCATATAAGAAAGAGTCAAATAGAGAAGTGTTTTCTTACTGAATTTAGGTTCAACTGTTAGGTTAACTGGTAACCATCTACTAGCCCAAAATGCCATGGTCCTGGAGGGATGTATGTGCTTCCTTAAACAATTATTCACTATAGAGGAGACACCTGCAGTCAAGTGTCTTGGGCACGTTAGTCTCTGTGACAATCCATACCACAACTTATTTTTAAAACAAGGGAAACATCCTATCATGCCGACACCTGGCTAACAAATTATAATCAGCCAATTGAATACTTGCAGTAAGAAGTCTTCAGGTTGTAACTCCAAGCATGACTCCATTAATCAAAAATGATTTCAAGTTTCCTATCATAGGAAAGACATAAGTGTCAAAACATGAGCAATACACTAACAATTTAACAAGCTGTCATGTACTATTTGAAAGAAAATGTGATTAGGGATGAATTCTTTAAAATATTTTCAGTACAGACTCAAAATCCAAACTGATTTATGTCTGATACAGAAAAGCACCCATTAAAATATACACGTACCTGTTTTGACAACTCCTGGCCATTTCTTAAACTCCAGGCTACAGGTCTTTAGTTGAAGCAAATGCCTTATTGTTTTATAAAAGAATGAAGTTAAGGTCACATTGATTTCATGTCAAATAGCTGCTTTCCAAGATTGTTGCACGATTAGTTATGCCTTGGTTTTTTTCCAGAGGAAGCTGGAACCAAAATCCTTGCCACTTGGTATTGAAATGAATGGTCCCACAGCTGTTTGTCCAGGATGCAGGTGTGTTGCAGGGTACCACCCATCTCTGAATCCCAGCTCAGTGTCTGAGCAGAGCGAGAAATTAGCTCATACTTTGCCCTCATGCAACTGTCAGAAAATATCAGCCTTGTTTCCAAGCTAAAACTGACTAAATCTAAAGCTTTAATTGTCTGGCGGCTTCTTGTGTTCTAGATTGTCACAAACTTGGACAGCTCACCTCCACTAGAACCACCGAGGGGATCTGGGACAGAAGAACACCAGCAAGAACATATGACAGGAAATATCAGAAGCTCCCCACCTTAGGACAGCCTCATCATCTATAAAAGTGGATTTGCTTGTAACCCCAGCACTGCTATCCAAATATTCCACTGAACCTCAGAAACTAGGGAAGTAATACAGTGTCTTACGCTGATAGGAGATACTACCACGTTCATGTGGAAACTTCAGATTAAATTACTCTTGGGAAGTTACAAACATGCAGAGTAAAAACATATTTAGAAGATGACATTACGGAAATAATTGTACATTCTACATCAACTAGCATTTTGGGCGTGAAGGGAGTATATTAAAACTAAGCCACAAGCAAAGTTGTAATTTTGGGGAACTTCACTGAAATCTGAGCATGTTAGAAAGAGAAGAACACTGAGAAATCCTCCCAGTCAGTCATTTGTAAAGTTCCACATGCTTTAGGATCATTCAGGAAACTGGTTGACAATGCAGACTCCCAAGCTCCACTCCAGGGATGCTGACCCTGGGGTCTGCTTGCTTCTGGGTCTGTGCTCCATGGAATACTAGACAACGAGTACACTCCTGTGATTTACAGAAGGGAAAGACCAGAGAGGATAGGTCCTGTGCTCAAAGACCCAGTAAATATCATAACCCAGTAAAATATCATTGATCATACTTCTCTCGTGGAGGCAGAAACTTTGGAAGCTGGCACTGCGAGATAACAGCTCACCACTCCTCTCCCTAATGAGACATCCTGCCATTGTCACAGTGGCAACTGCTAAGAGCAAAGAAAATACAATCCTGTCCTTGGTTGTGTCAGGGGAAATGCAATGGGTCATACTGACCTGGCTCATTCAGGAACCAGGAGGGCTGGGTTCAAGTCTCGCCTTAGCAGTGAGTTTCTCTTTGGCAAATCACCAGCTGGTTTTTATTTCATGCCTGGTTCCTAACGGGGCTGGGCCAGGGGCTGTCTCATCTCTGCTAGACCTCAAATTATGAGTTTCATCACAGGCAAAAATATACAGCTCCCTTCTTCCATTTTAGCCACTTAATTATTTTATGAATAGGATAATTATAGTAATAATTAACAGTTAATTAGAACTACACGGCAGCCAGTATCCTGAGCAATTCAAGTGCTGTTTTAGCATGTAATCCATACAGTGATCTGGTACCTAGGAGGCCCATCATTTTCCTTTCTTTCTTTTCTTGATTTTTCTTTACTGGTTTGTTTGTTTGTTTTTATGTGCTGAGGACTGAACACAGGGCCTTCATGATGACCTACATCCCGTACCTTTTTCAACTTTTTTTTTTTGTAATGTCATGCTAAGTGGCTAACTTACCCAAACTGGGTGCAAACTAACCCTATCTCAGCCTCCTAGAGTGCTGGAATTATAGGTGTGTGCCGCTGTGGCTGGTTTGGGCCCCTTTTTCTGATACAGCAATTGAAATCCAGAGAGGTTAAGCCATTTTTCTAAGATCACATAACTAGTGAATGGTAGTTTTATCTAAAGAGAAATCAGACAAGGGAAGAAACAAAATAGAAAAACGTGATCTTACTGTGGCACAATACATGTCCAGTACTGTTTCTCAGCATCTTTTTTGCTTTGTACATTTCTCCACTTAAACTTGTGCTCATCACGTCAGAGAATCAATGAGAGACATTTTGGCTCTTCTCTTTCACTTGCCCAGGCTTTTAAAGGGAACTGAAAAGAGGCATCACACAGGTGATTTGTGAGAAAACATTCAGAGTAAAATTTACACGCTCACACACTTCCACATATACACATCTGAAAAATGTCACCTGAGCTTGCAAAAGAGAAGGAAAGTAGAAGGGAAACAAAGAGTGAGTCGATATTGTATTGTAAAGCCTGTGATTTTTATCAGAAGGCTTGCACAGTTGGTCAAAATCTTGAAAAAGGTTCAAAGTATCTAAGAGCAGAGGGGGTTGTGCCTTGTTTCCTAGGAGTGTGTGTGTGTGTGTGTGTGTGTGTGTGTGTGTGTGTGTGTCTGTGTCTGTGTCTGTGTGTGTCTGTGTGTGTGTGTAGATATGGGCACCCGACCCAGAAAAAAATAGCCAGCATCTCTGATGTTGGGCAGAATTTGTGTAGTCCAAGGTCCCACAGCCAAGGGTCAGAATGTTTGCTCTTTGTCAAGGAGCATAAAATACACAACTGCTGGGCGTGCGAGAACACATCTGCCAGAGCCCAGAGAACAATGACGGAGGACCAGCTGAGGTAAGGACACCTCACTGGCTGTCTGCATGGATCCTTGACATTGAGTTTGTGTGGAGTTTCCCTAACCCTAAGCCCCCTTATTTGACTGCAATTTGGGGGAAATTAAGTGAAACTACACTGGCCAAATTTGAGTTTCCGCTACCCTGACAGAATTTGAGCTCAAAATACAAAATGATAAAATTTTATTTTTGCATATATCCCAGTTTCTGAAAAGGGGTTTATACCCAGTGAAGTAAGAATAATTCCAAATATAAGAGGAAATAATTTTGGGGGGGATGTTGTATGATTTTGGTTCTACATTTGTGTACTTCTGTCATTTTGGTGAAAGGAAAATACACCTATAAACCTCCATTGTCTATGCAGACAGAGGATAACAAGGGGTTTATTAAACATAAACAGTAACAGTGGCCATTATAGGAAAGCAGTTGCATGGAAAGGAAATGGAAAATAGTTGGAAAATCTCCATACAACCTCAAATAGTTAAGAGGGTGCTTCTGTCTCCAGTCATGGAGACTCTGACTCCTACACTCAAGATCCAACTCAGCATTGAGCAACCTCAGCTTGTGAATTCCCTCAGCAGAGGGAAATTGTAACGACATGGGAGGTGTGGGGAAGCCGAGTAGGAAAGGTCCCATTTGCGGTTTGACACTGGAAAGGAGTGTCAGCCAGCACACATGTGCCAGTGCTTTCTGTGAAGCCTAGGAGCCCTCTGGGCTTGGAAACATTGCTCATGATCACACGAAGCTCCTGGCTTCAAAGCATGCTCATCTCTGGTTTCTGACAAAGAAGATACCGTCTGGCTTCTGGCCAGCAAAAGAAAGTCATTCACAGGAAACAGCTCCTTTTCCAATCAAATTGCAGTAACAGAATTTGTCTTCCTTTTTGAACCAGCCACAAAGCAGGACAAGTTATTTGAACAAGCGAGTCTTAAAATACTGAGCACTCTCTTTATTCACTAGGTATAGCGCCAAAGTCAAATGACTCTAAAAGATAAACCAAAGCAGCCAGGAGAGCGCGACCAAAGACACACACAAAAGAGGACTTTCAGAACTGCTTCAGAAAGTGACAGTAACAAAGGGGTAAGTGTGCTCAAAGTGAGAGAGGGGAGATTAATGGCAATGTATTTTTTATTGTAATAAATTTTAAAAATTTAAATGTTTACCACATTTTACAATCATACTCCGTATAGCAGCAAGGAAACTATCTAAGGGCAGGGAAAGAACTACCTGTTAATTTTATAAACAATAGTACCTGGAGCTTTCATGCAACTAATAATAGGGTTTTTTTTTTTTTCTCATTGGCAAGACTGGAAAAGTCTCAAGATTCATGGGTTATTAACATAGTGTTCAGAAAAGTTTACATCAGTAATAGTTAATTAGTCTAATTACTCTTAGACTCTGGCTTGACTTAATACATTTTAAAAGGAAGTCCTGAAAAGATTAAAATTATTTCCAAATATCTCAACTTTCTTCTAGACTATGTTTTGAGGAAAATAAAAGTATTCAGCCTGCCAAAATTCTCACAGTCAAAATTATCAGACATACAAGGATGTAGAAGAATATAACCTCAGGAAAATGCAAAAAATCATCCTTAGAAGGTGACTCAGAATTCACACCAATATTAAAAGAAGGAGATAAGGTCATTGAGGTGATTATTAAAATTGTATTTCTCTCATCCTCTAAAAAATCAAATCAAAATTAAAGACTTAGGGCTAAAATCAGACACTGAAGCTGTTAGAAGAAAACATAGAAGAAATACTTCAAGATGTAAACACAGGCAATGACGTCCTAAATGGGACTCCAACATTATAGGAAATAATAGCAAGAACTGATGAATGAGATTTCAAGTTCAACACCTTTTGTACAGCAATGGGAATAATCAATAAAAGCAAGAGACAGCTCATAGAATCTTTCCTCGCTATTGTCGGACAGAGAATTGATATCCAGGATGTACAAAGAGCTCAAAAAACTTAATACCAAAAGAACAAATGCCCCAATCAATAAATGGGCAAATGAAATTAAAAGGTATTTTTAAAAGAAGTGCAAGTAGACAATAATTATATGAAAAAATATTCAAAATCCTAACCATCAGGGTGATACAAACCAAAATCATATAAATGTTCTATCTCACCCCAGTCAAATCAGTTATTATCAAGAATACATAAAATGATGGGTATCGATGAGGATGTAGGAGAAAAGAAATTTTTCTACCTTGTTGGTATGAATTTAAAGTAATACAAACACTATACAAATCAGTATAAAGATTCCTCATAAAACTAAAAGTAGAATTACCATATGATCCAGCTGAAGTACACTGAATTCAAATTGCTCAAAACCAGGTTTATAGGGAAAATCCTAAAAGTAACTACAAAAAGACATGTTGCTACAGATAAATGAAGATACTATTCACAGGGAATTTCTTATAAAAATAACTCTAGTAAGAAACCAATGGAAACATCTTTAAAGCTCTGATACTGTGGTTTGGTTGGGGCTCCCTAAAGACCTGTGTGTTAAAGGCTTGGTTTCCACCTTGATGCTTGGGAGGTGACAGAAGAGGTGGAGCTTAATGGGAGGTCTTCAGGTCATTGGAACACTGAGATACACCCTTGAGGTGAATTAGTCTTTGGTCTCTCTTTCTCTTTTTTCCTTATTTTTTCTTTCTCCCTTTCTCTTTCTCATTCTCCCCTCCCTCCTCCACTGGCTGTAAGATGAGGATTTTGCCATGTGCTGCAGCCTCAACATGGGCTCAAAAGCAACGGGGAAAACTGATCTACAAAATCAAACTAAAATCTACAACTGTGATCTCAAAATCAACCTTTTCTCTTTGTAAGTAAGTAGAGAATCTCAGATATTTGCTACAGTAACAGAAATGTAATTAATGTAACTGAAAAGGGAGAGAAATAAAACAGTCCATCTAGATTTCTTGGCCTGGTGAAAGTATTTTTCAAAAGAGGAAGTACCTAAAGATTTTTTTAGACATGTTGCACAGGAAAAGATATACAAGTCCTAGGAAAAAGTTTAGATTGCACAGAAAGAGGAGGCAAGAGGAAGGGAGGAGAGGGGAAAAGATTCCAGGATAACCCTTTGCATTAGTGTAGTATTCTGCATAGAGTAGACACTTTTTTCTTTATCTTTCATTGTAAGTTTATGAAAGAGTGGATATTTTATTTCAAACTAAGTAAGGTGAATTAGAACAGAAGGCTTTCTTCCTCAATAATACCTGACATTTAGTGTGATACTACTGCACATGGTGCTTCTCAGCACATTGCACAGTTCACTTTTGCAACAAACCTCACGAGACAAGCAAAAAAGACAAATTTATAGGAAAAGAAACAATCTGAGAGAGATGATGCCATTGGTAAATGGCATAAGTTAGAAAATGAAAAAGTTAGGCCCAAACTCAGGTTTTTAATTCCAGGTCCTGTGCCATTTTTTCTCTTCCTCTTCAGGCCATACGGAAGCCAGTCTCTTACACCACATCCTTCAGGGTAGTTTGTCAACTGGGTTTATGTTACAGTAAAATATAACTTTGCTGCATGATCCCTTGATCTTGAACTGCTGTCATTGATCACGGCCTATTTGTTACAAAATATAGATGGCAGCTTTGATCCCATTAAACAGGATGTATTTCCAAGCTTCAACTTCTAAAACATGCTTGTTAGCTATCATCTAATCTGAAAGGGACAATAAAACACTGTATTACATTTATTTTCATGCTCAACTAGAATGATCAAGAAGAGGCAACTGAATTATAGTTGCATTTATACTTATAAATATTATTACCAGGAAATTGTTGGGTTCGATGTTATCATTTCTGTAATTACTAAGAAATATCCATTCCACTGGAAGTTACCACAATATAGGAGTAATTGCTATGCTCTTAGGGAAGAGTTGCATGATATGGTTATTCTTGTTACACAAACTATAAATTATGCACTAAACAAAATAAAATTTTTAATGAAAAACAACATGGTTAAAGTAGCTACCAAACCCAAGTGGCGCTCTGTGGTTGTACAAAGTAATTACGTAATTATTTAAGCTTCACAAATTTAGAAATTGCAAAGCACTTATGAAAAAAATTCTTGTGAGATGCTAAATGGAACTTAAAATAGTTACTAACCCAGTTAGGTGATGATTTTTGTTATACTAAATGGAAATCCCATCATTATCTTTTTCCGAGATCACATTTTACGTATTTTAACAAATTTTTCTTACTTATCTCTATTCAAACAATCCTAAAATCTCAAAGTTGGACAAAAACACCTAACTTATTCTCCAGTCAGACTGTGGGCCTTTCCTATAGCCAGTAACAGGACAACTAGTTATTTGTCATCTTCTTGAAGGCAGACCAGAATTCTATAAATCAGCACAGTTCATGAATCAGTTAAGGAGTTTTAGTTGCATGGGATTGGTGACGCAACTCATGCTAGTTTAAAGGAAAGAAAAAATTTACAGGCTCAACCAATTCGAAAGTCTAAGATTATTGGCTCTGAAAGTGGCTAGATTAAAGTGCTAAAATGATATTATAAATAGTATTCCATCATTTTAAAAATACTTGCTTGAGTTTCTCTGTTGGTTCTGTTCCCAGGTCCTCTGCTCAGAAGAGTTCAGTAGGACCTACCAGCTGAGTTATTCTGGTGGAGTGCATTTTTCTTTCCTAGGAGTTGAAGAAACAACTGAATGTCCTGATAGGCGTGTTCTGCATCACATGCCTTT